TTTTAGTTGTCTAATTTTTTAGTTGTCAAGTTTATGAAATCTTTCCACAGTGCTGCTGCAGTTTGAAACAAGTGGAAAATGGCCAGATGATTTARMTGCTATTCAGCACATCAAAGCTTCTTTCCATATAAAATTAGCAGAACAACTGGCTGAGAAATGCTCTCTTCAGGCCGTGGCTACCCCTAAGCATGTTGATGTTCTYAAAGTAAGAAGTGACAACTATTCATTCACAGTCATTCTGTTGTAAACTCAAATAATGTGATTGTAAACAGAAAACAGCGGCGGGAACAACAACTTCTTTTTAATACTAGTTYGTGTTCTACAACCTTGTGGTGTGTCCTATGCTGGGTGGCCTTACAATCTAACAGGGGCMYTGAGGGGAGGGKTACAGGTTAATAAAGAAAAACTATAAAATTACAACACATTCTCAGTAATTATTATTTTTTTCTTGGTCTTATACTTCATTCATTTCCTCCTCCTCTCCCAGTCCTCAGCTCCCCTCTATCCTCCCCTTTCCCACCACTTCATTACCTCTGGGAAAAATACATCTATAATTAGCTTTTTTTCAATTAATATTACGTACCATTCATTTGTTGATTTATTTGCCTATTCACTCACCCTCCCATCCACCCTTCCCATTCATCCATTCATTTAATCTTATCATGTTCATAATTCAACAGAAYGGCTTTGCATTTCGAGTAAAGATTGCCCACTATAGAGAAATGGTTCTMTTGCAACAAAGTAGCCCAACAGAGGAGCAAGACCAAAAAGAAATCAAGAATAAATTAACAGAAATGGAGAGAGAAATTGTTCATCTGCCTGTCTTGACAACAACATTACATAGGTGATTATATATTGCTAGAGTAATGAAAAAAAATGGATGGATGGAGTGTTGGATGATGGATGAGTAAATGAGTTCAATATTAAATGAAAAAATGAAAAAATGAATGAAAATAATGAATGGCTTTTAAATGTATGAATTGATAAAAGGAAACAAATGCCTAGACAAAAAAAACTTTATTTAATCCAAATGCAATTGTATCTTTTCCAGTATTGAGCAACAGTTCTGTGCATATAGTGGTACCGTCCGTCTGGCTAAGAGATGGGTGTCTGCACATCTCCTRTCCAATTACATTCCATCAGAATGCTTAGAGTTATTAGTGGCACATTTCTTTCTTTCTCCTGCTCCTTATAAGGAACCAAGGTATGTCCACTTACAGTTAATATAAATTTCCATTTTTTGTTATCTGAACAGTCTTTTTTGTGCCTACTACAAAGAACATTGAGCGCCTTTAATTTCATGATATTTAGGACTGCACTTGTGGGTTTCCTGCGTTTTCTTSACCTTATGTCAACTTGTGACTGGCAAAGAACTCCAATTATTGTAAATCTGAACCATGATCTCACAGGTATGTGAATRTAGTCAAGATACAATTATTAAGTTATTAAATTCTGCAATTCTTAAGTTTTGAATCAATTATTATAATTATAGTAATTTTTATATCATGTAATTTACCTCATGTTTTAGCTGAAGATTATCAAGAAATTTCAACTAAGTTTTCAAGCGAAAGAGCTCATCTTCCTGCTTTGTTCATGGCTACACCAAAAGATAAATTTGACTCAAAATGGACCAAGCAAAGCCCTACTAGACAAGTAAGAGGGATACTAAAGACAGACAGACAGACAGACAGACAGACAGACAGACATGACAGACAGACAGACAGACATACATACAGACAGACAGACAGACAGCTCTTATACCCACAACATATAAATAAATATAGTCAACTGTTCAGGTGTCATTCCAGTGATTATTTTTAATGATTTATTTAAGTTTCTTCAATAACTGTTTGTCCATTATAACAGGGTATCAAGAAGCCAAGAGTTCACCAAATTGAAATATTAAGACTTATGTGAAATATGTTTTCTATGAAGAATTAATGAATTTGTTTGTCTGTAGATACTTCAAAGACTTGCTTTGCTGGCAAAGGAGTCCCATTCATTACTGCTCAAACAGCTCTGTGAACTAAGTACACAAGAAATTGATTTTAAAGTATGTCATTTATATAATGAATGCTTTTGATAATCTCTAATATGATTTATTCTAATGATAACCAAAAGAAATACATTCAACTGAGCTTGTCTACTTTTCCAGCAAATTTTCCGCCCTCCATTGAATGATTACGACGTGATCATCTGGCTTCATCATCACTGTTTATCAAGGTTCCACCAGTCAGTTGATGCAACCAAGACCTTCAATGCTAAGYWCAAAAAGCGTGTTAGTGGGCTACCTGTGGTAAACTTTGACCCAGTCCACTGCTATATCAGTGAACTCAAGGTATAAATATTTTTGAATATTACTCAAATAATCAACTTTAGATATTTTGGTTCAATGACTATGTACAAAAGAACACACAYGAGGCTCTGGGAAAACATATTCTTTTATTTTTCCGGAGCCTYGTCTGCAATTCTTTTGTGCACATGGTCACTRAACYRAAATRTCTAAAGTYGGCCCTATTTAACTTTACAATACTWTTTGCAAAAAAATGCTGCATTTCAGGAATCATTCTCAGATRTAGCCATGTTCTTTCATGATGTCATGGGAGGAGATTTTGTCGCTGTTGTGTGGAAGCCACAAGCTTTTGAGAAAGCTCAATTTAAGGTAACTGTAACTGTAGGATTGTATTCCTAATATTGATAATTTATTGCTTATCATTGTTACCATAACACTGTAGCTGTTAAGATAATCTGTTATCGTAAACTTTGTTATGTGCAATGAGAATGCACATAGATAGCTAACAAAATACTTCTAAATAAAGGTAATTCCGTTGTCACTTGTCAACGTTACTTAGTAGTAGTTAGTTTGTAGCATTATTTAAATTGTTTTATTTAACAGGTCTTGAGTGCCCAATATAAGATCCCTGTTGTAGGAAAATCAAAGAAGGTAAGAAGGCCAAAATGGAAGATCAAGTTTAGAAAACCTATGTTTCTTTATTTTCCCATTCCAGCATTCTATTTCCTGGTCTTTGACTCATGAATGTTTGTCATTCACTTTTTCRTKTGGTCATTCATTCATCCATTTTGCCATTTATTCATCTGCTTGATCCTTCACTCATTAACTGAGTTACGTACGATCAGACAATCTCACAACAATGCTTCCAACTGACTTTTTTGTTTTTTTATTTCAGAGCAAAGGAGATCAACATCTGGTTTCTCCCAACATTTCAGCCATTGTGGAAGATTTTGAGATTCTCGGAAAAGGACTAGTGAAAAGAGTAGAGGTCATTAAGAGACGTRACAACGAGAATCGATGAAGAATAATGTATTAAAACCAGAAAAAGAATTAAAAAAAGTTACTCTAAGATGGTTGTCAAATAAAAACTACTGCTTTGCGGCAAAAGAAAATGTGAAGACTAAACACTTCGTCTAAGATTTTATTTCAAAAGTGCGCAATAGTCGTTATATACAGAGCATGGCAAATAGCTTTTTTTTCTTAGTACAATAACTTTAGCTCATGAGTTGATATATCTTATTTTTGTATCAAACGATATTTATAGAACAACAATTAGTAATAGTAATTATATTATTTTCAAGTACCCCCTTCAAATTTTTTCCTTAACGAAAAATTAAAATAATATTGCCAAAAAAAGGCAGGCAAACACACAAAAAAGAATACCATAACATGTTACTATCATAAACGGTATCTTCGAGTAAAAATAGTTTTTAAAAATGATCAAAATGTTTCGCGTGTTTTTCAAAATATAATTTCCGCTTTTATTATCTTAACACCCAAAKTATTATAACTTGTTATTATTTCTGATAAACTCCTAAACAGCTATATACTAGTATTTTCAATTACGTCTTGTAGTGGGAGTAATAGTGAGGCATTGCATATATATAATATCTTTCTGGTGCCTTTCAGGTAATTAGTGTACTAGGTTAACACTTTACGCATTTCAGAGTTTGAAATATGCGCACAACATTCGTAAACCCTCTCCAAAACAGTCCGAATTCATTTATACTAAGTACGTCTCACTCGTCCGCAAGCTCAACGTGGATGACTTTAGGATTCTTGCCATCCTTAGCTCTCATCGCACGTCCAAGGAGTCCAATTATCATCTTCCCTCCGCCATGGTTCGCTTGTCTTTTATCAACATACGTAAACATGTTCTCACAATGTCCTGGCGTAACAATCCATCCTTTAGATTCATCATCGCTCATGACATCAAAGTCYCCAGCCGGAGTTCCAATATGTATTGGACCGTAATCTTTCATGATTTTTGTAGCTTTTTCCGTGGCTGAGGCCGCGCTTTGTGCAGCGTCTTCAAGGATTACGACAGTTTGGTTCTCGAACAAAACCCAGCTCTTGTTTTTAGTCTGGAATTTCCCTTCGATGACATTTTTGCAATTKGCTACCAAAGGAGTTGTGATTTTAGCAGTTGTATTGGCTCCAAAGGARCGAGAYAGGATTAACGCARCCCGGAACATTTTGTTCTTTGGACTGGCTWTACGAGTCCACGCAATTAGAATTCGCTTGATTGCGTCGCTTCGCATCACTTCGTCTGGCACTGGTCCATGGTMTAAATTATTCATATAATGGCGATGATGTGCCTCAGCAAAGCATTTCTCGGAATTGCTAGTGTCTTAAGCTTTCATTTTTGCTTTCAAATATTTTTTTCGTGTTGCAAGCTCATCAAATTACAATTWTCAATAATAAACGCACAAAATTTGATATAAAATAAATCCTTTTGTTGAAATAAAGACACTATAAGTCACGCTCAATATTTCAGACAAAAAAAGGCATTCATCGTTGAGTAGATTTTCTATTAAAACGAATTTGTTTACAATGATTTCGACGTGTTTATTTTGCAATCAGGGAGGCCTGGGTCGAGAGGGGATTCCCCGGCGACATGTCATCGATCTTTTTATGTATCATATCCCTGAGATACAGACTTTTCAACGAATCATAGTTGAAATACAGTTGAATTTATTAAATTTCTCATGCTTTYATGTGATAAAGTTTAAGATTTAACGTTTCTATGAAACGTATAATCAAAATTTAAAAAGTGGCTTTCAAACGATACCCGGAAATGATAGTAGATTTTCGGCTAAACTGTTTTTAGGATTATAAGTGTTGCTTGTTATTGTTACTTGTGTAGCTCAGTTGTTTGCAAGTTCTACGTGGACAATTTCTGGGTGCATTCCATCYTGGTTTCTCATCCCTCTTCCTACAAGACCAATRACCATAATACCATCTTCCTTCTTCGCCTGTSCCTCGTCCACAAACGTAAACATATCTTTGCAGTGGCCGGTGACAATCCATCCATTTTTATCTTTAGTTTCAAGAACGTTGAAGTCGCCTGCTGGACAGCCGGGATAAACAGGRCCGAACTCCTTCATGATTTCAGTCGCTTTTTCCGACGCCGATTCCTTAGTTAGCTGACCATCTTCAAGGATCACAAACGTTTGGCTTTTAAACAATACCCAGGGCTTATTTTGTGAATCTAGCAAATCTTTCACAGCTTTTCTGCATTTTTCAACGGGCGTATCTTCTATTTTGACCATCTTTGCTCCCATGCGAGAATTTCAAGAGAATATTTATACTAATACAAACATTTTGCTGAGCTCGGCTACTTTCGTGACAGTTTCGCTTACTCGACAGAATTTCGTGGTCATGTCGTAATATCATCGTGTTTATTTATTTTTGAGTGCATCGCGGGCTCAAAGTAAAATCCAAAATGGCGGCGAAGGTTTTCACTTCGCCGCCTAAAATCGAAAACTTCGTTTTGACAGAAAAGCTTGGCCAAGGTAGTTATGCAACGGTTTATAAAGCATTTAGAAAGGTAAGCTAATGCGGGCATATTTTCCCGTACATTTGACGCGTAAACTGCTAGTTAATTTAAGATTTGTTTCCAAGAAAAATTCAAAATAAGAGTGCAAAATGATCGATTCGTCCAAGATTGAATCAGTGAAAATTTCAATATTGCCTATTGCTGTAGTTATAAAGCTATAGAGCGACAATGTTTTTGTCATGTTTAATTASTAAAAACCAACTTCAAAAAACAGCATTATTCTTGTTTTTGAATTTGTTTTGCTTRTTAAGTGTACTTCCGGTTTCATGACATGACATCAGTTGTTATTAATAGCTACAAAGTGCTTGAAACCTGGTTGTCCAATATGTTGCTAATGAGCCCCCCCCCCAAAAAAAAGCGTTTATGATGGTTGTTAACTGCATAAAAAGGGGGATAAATACAAATTCTTGATGATTCAATAAATGAAAGTAGACATTCAAGTATAATTCATATGATAAATGGTTCCTACATCATATAGAAATGAAAGAAAGTTATAGTGCTTAGAAGGAGGCAATTCCGTGAGAAAGACCCTTAGGAATAAATGCGGAAAAATTAATTTCCGACCTCACTGGGATTCGAACCCACGACCTTCGGATTTGTACCACAGATGCACTACCAACTGAGCTACAAGGGCAGACTGGGAGCAGGTCGGGGTGAAATATTTTATTATCTATTTATTATCTATTTGAAGCACTATAACTTTCTTTCATTTCTATATATCATGTTTATCATACTGCCATGATGTATAGTGATATGATATATGAAGAATAAATAAATGTGATTAAATGAATGGATGAAAGAAGTAAATGAGAAAAAAAGATGAATGAATGAAATTTGAGAGAATGAATCTCTTATTTAATGAGCTGGTTAAAATTCAGTTAATAAGATTGATGAATTGAGATGAGGGAGATAAGACTGTTTATTGATTGAATAATATTTCTCTTTAGGGTCATGACAGAGATGTGGTGGCAATCAAATGTATACAGAAAAGCACATTAACCAAATCAGCAACAGAAAAYCTGCTAACAGAAATCGCTTTGCTCAAAAAACTYGATCATGAATATATTGTCAAACTTAAAGACTTCCAGGTATGCAAACCTCTTTCAAATGAATGAATTAAAGTAATACACATG